TTGTGAGGGCGGCGGTTGGGGGGGGTGGGGACAATAAAATAAAGCGCGTATGCTTTTAGGCCACAAGGTGTATTTGACCCATCTGCTAAACACTGTGGGATGCAGTTACTGAAACCTCATGAGGGGAGGGGTCTTAGAGCGCGTATGCTTTTACGCCACCAGGTCTATTTGATCCATACGCTAAACATCGTGGCGTGCGGGTCCCAAGAACTCATGGGGGGAGGGGCAGTAGAGCGCCTATGCTTTTAAGGTGTATTTGGTCCATACGCTACACACTGTAGGACACGCTGGCTGCTCCCTTCATGTATGATATCCCACTAGCCAAACTTCGGCCCCCCAGCTGTGCTCAAACTTCAAACCCCATCATGCATCTGTGAGTCATGCCTGTGGCTGTCAGAGTCTTGCAATGCCTCATTGGACTTGTAGTTGCACCACAGCTGGAGGGGCGGAGTTTAGCTTATAAATCAAGCCAACCGGACTTGCTGTATTTTTCTTGAAGACGTCTCGCTGGTCATCCAACCGGCTTTCTCAATTCAGAATGACTTCTCTGGGAATAAATAGGGTGAAAGTTGCTCCAATCCGCATAGTCTGTTGCTTAATAACACCTGCTAGTTCCAACCATGCAAATACAATCAACAACTTACATGCGGCCTCTGACCCCCATGCTGGATATGATAAACAGATAAACATTCCCCCTCTTTATTCCCAGAGAAGTCATTCTGAATTTAGAAAGCTGGTCGGATGACCAGCGAAACGTCTTCATAAAAATACAGCCAGTCCAGTTGCCGTGATTTATAGATCTACTCCTGTACTAGTTTGTCGGGGGAATTGATGCCCCCTTTTGCCTGATGAAGGGGCCGATATGCGGCTCCGAAACGTTGATCTGATCTCTGACCAACAAATGGTTCTTCTCTGGAACTCCCGATGGGCCGGTGACGATTTGCATTAGTGGCGCCACCCGCCTTCTATCACTACAGCACCCACATCCAACGGGCTCGTGAAGCAGTTGGCGTCCACCATGTCCTATATGACTTGCATTTATAATATATGAGCGTATGCCTATACCAGGTTCTCCAGCTGTGCTGAAACTACAAATCCCATCATGCTTCTGCCTCTGGGAGTCATGCCTGTGGCTTGCAATGCCTTATGGGATTTGTAGTTTAAGCATAGTTGGAGAGCCGAGGTTGCCTACCATTGCCCTATACCAGGGGTAGCCAAACTCCAGCCCTCAAGCTGTGGTGAAACTACAAATCCCATGATGCATCTCTCTCTGGGAGTCATGTCTGTGGCTGTGAGAATCTTTGGCCACGCCCCTCGCTATAGGTGAATGTTAGAAAGGGGTACCCCACCTATAACGCCTTTTCTGTTTTCCAGGATGAACACGGCTTCATCTCCCGCGAGTTCCACCGCCGGTACAAGCTCCCCGCCACGGTGAACCCGTCATCCCTTACTTCGGCCCTGGCCGCCGACGGACTGCTCTCCATCCTGGCGCCGGTCACAGACACCGCCACGGCCGAGGAGAGGAGCATTCCCATCGCAAGGAAGTAGAAGTGAGAGCAGGAGCTGACTGTGCCGGCTGTGCCCCTCCAAAAGCCAACCCCGGGGGGGCGACTTCAATTCTACTAGGTGTGCCGGAGGTCTCATTTAACCGAGCATGCAAATTCCTTAAAGAGTACCTGTCACTACAGCTGTGACCTGGTACAGACAAGGCTAGGATTCCGCCATTGTCCGGGTACTACTTCCAGCGCTGTGCTCACCTCCACGACCCTGGCTGTGCCCGCTTACTTCCCTTCTGACAGGTTCACTTTAAAACACCATTTCTCCTCTTCTAAAAGAAGACCTCTGACACAGACTGTCGTAGAAGAGCTGTTCCTGGAGAAAATGCTGCTCCTGGCTCCCTCCAGTGCTGGTCATGTGACCAGAAGCAAAGGCTTTTGCTGGCCTCGAAGTTGAGCGCTCACCGTTCAGACTGACTTATCCACCCGAGCAGCCGAGATCACATGACCAAAATCTGAGGCTTCGGTCACCAGCACTGAAGGGAGCCGGGAGCAGCATTTTCTCCAGGAAAGGAAAGTTTCATCCCTACTGTTAATGTTTGTACATTGCTCTGCTTTAAAGGAGCTCTCCGGCTTTAGAATTGAATTGGTCCCCCGCTCTTCACTACTTCTGCAGCTTCTATCTGTGCTTTTTCCTACATACAGAGCTGTCATAAAGCCCCTTAGCACCCTAGGCGAAAAGGCCAAAGTCTCCCTCCAGCGTGAGCTGTGAACTACCCCACGGGATAGGCTGCAGCTCCTGCAGCGGCAGCCTCTTCTGCCTACCCCTTGTGATATGATTCCACCCCATGGGGGGGCTCTCTGCTGTATCCAAAGGGCAGATCTGTGTCCTATCCCAGGACACGGGAGGATAGACAGACATGGCTGGGAAGCACAGAAGGAAGCTGACCGGAGCCAACGACTCCCGAGGCTGGAAACACCCCGCAGGCCTTGTCCCTGAGGAAAGCAGGTTCAGAACGATAAGGAGGTCTCTTCCTGAACGGGAACCCGCGTCGCTCTGCTGACATCACGAATCTGGAGGTGTAAATAAGAAACGTTCCCCCGTAAAGGGGGAGGAACACTCATGTCATGGAAACAGATCTCTGACCGCGAGGGAAATAAAAGTCATTTTGTGTCCGGAGCTTCTGTTTTATAATCATCTGTTCAGTTTGGTTCTGAGGGACGCATGCCGTGCATTATGGGATGGGGCGGCTGTGGTGCGTTTCAGAGCATGGCTGGTAATGTGCACGATGGGTTTGGGATCACCCGGGACGCACAGACTGCAGTATATAATGCACGGATAGGCAACTCCAGCTGTGGTGCAACTACAAATCCCAAGAATTTTACAGCCACGACTCCCAGAGACAGATGCATGGGGG